ACACTTTAAGTTGACAATCTACCCTGTTTCAACTCAGAGGTATATATTAAAGTACAAATATTTCATAACTTATGATTTCTCAAGATAATATAAAAGAATAAAGACGTAAAAAAATCGAGAAAAAAAGTTGGCCTACATTGGACCCATCTCCACTAAAATGTCGGTTTGCTCACTGTAGATAAATACTCTTCAGAAAGGAGGTTCTTTATGAGGCAGTATCACAATAATATACGCAACTAGGGACTAACTTATAAACAAAGCCAACAAGCATTGAAGATCAGTAGCACTGAAGCGATCCGACAGGTATTTAAAATATTACATTTTATCACGGCTGATTAAATCTCTACACTTTGGTCACAAACACGGGAATGCATTTAAAATTCTAGTTCAGCTTGGATCGCTTCAGTGCTACTAATCAACTGTGTATGATGGCTTTGATTAAAGAGCTATAAGTCCCTTTGTTTAAATTGCGTATATCATCGTAATGCTGCAAGTTTTATTGCGCTAGCTTCTACATGTATTATCTCTTTGTCCACTTGATAAAATATTAACTATATATCTGGAAGACTTTTTCGTAATGAAATCGTTATTTCAATATCGGAGAAATTTATCGGAGGGATTCTGATGTATTATTCACGGTGTGAAATCCACATTCGTTTTTTTTAATTGTTACTCTGACAGAATCAGTTTTAGGAAAAATTCAGGTCGGAAAACCATATTTAATGTTTACAAAGACATTCAGACATACATGTAGCAATAAATCATATTAAACTTTTCATTAACATCTATGCATTAAAAAATCTTGAGAAAATAAACAAATCACCACTCGTAAGTCAAAATGACCAATATATATTGCTCATAAAGTTTCGTTTAAAACTCGGTCGATATTTACAATACATTTTGTATATCCAATTGCTATTTTTAGATATTTATAAAGCGTTACAGTTCGGTCCACAAGAGCTAAATAACATTGCAATATCACCTAATTGCACGCAAGTTTTCTTTGTTTGTTTCTTTTTTTTAGTCCCCCACTTCAGGGATTTTAAGGGTTTTTTTTCTTTTACTTTGTTTTTCTTTTTGAAAAAATATCATAAAAACTTTCAAATTTTTAATTAGCACAATTTGTGCGTTAAAAAATGGCCAAAATTTGACTTTATTAGGACTACACTTAAGCATCTGCCAAAAAGGTTATAGGTCGCAGGCTCGATTTCCGGTATGGTCGTCCTAGACATCATAAATACTACACAATTATGCATGGTCGCTTATGTTCTAACTCGAGAGAAGGGAAAGTCGTTGTTTCCTTGAACAAACACAAGAAATTTTACACTCATTGCTCAGTACTTGTTAGTTCCATGAACGGATTCGAAAGTGTGCCTAGAAGCTTATAGCTTCCTACACAATGAAACTAAATTAAGTTCTGTATATACAAGATACAACACAACAGAAGAGCGCACTTCTGACTATTTCCTAATGACTCTATCAAACTTAACTACCTAATTCTTATCCCTTTTTTAAGTATAGGAGATCGAAATGGGGCTTATTTGAGTACAATATGGATATAATATAGATTATGTTGACTCGGAATTATATAATTCGGAGAGAAAAACCAAGGCTAAACTGATAAGAATGGGCCAAGTATTGCATGATAGGCGTTCATGACAATAAATTTATTTATTAACTTTTTTTAAAGAAGACTTTGTGACATACATGTTGCTTTGTTTTCTGTTTCTATTTGTCTGGTGTAATCGACAGTGTGTTAAAGTAACTTTAAATCTACTTATCAAAGGTTTAAAATGGTTTATTTTTTTTCAGTCCGCCTAACAACTGCTATATAATTCATTGTTAACATTAATTTAAGTAATGGATCATAAAATTGCTCTTATTAATACCAAAATAGAAAAAAGTTCATTTGGTTCAAATATTTTATTTATTTGATTTTTTTTGCTTAATGGAGTAATTAGATGCTTTTCAATAAAAAATGTCCATGCAGTATTAATTACATGCTATAACACTTGTTTATTGAACTGAGAGTTTTTAACCATTGCTTTTTTAATTGGTTACAAAAGTTTCAAACTACATGTAATTTTTTTATTATTTCTTTTTTATTTTTTTTGTTGCTGTGTCTACCTTGCAGATCTTGTTAACCCAGACGGATATTTATTATTTTGTCAGTTTGAACAATTTATACTGTATGTACCCGTTTAACAATTTTCTAAATATAGATTATTTGTAATTGGAAAAATGTATCACCATAATTGAAATGAAAATCAGAAATGTTACGAAAAGTCAGCAAAACAGAAAGAAAAGTAGAAAAGTAGAAAACCTTAAATTATTAACAAAAATAATTCGACTCTGTAACATGCCCACGAATTGTGTCAGTGTTTTATACTTGTAAAAAGTCGGGGCATTTTCTGTAGCCAACTTACTCAATTTAACCGCTTAAGTTACATTGGATTAAATGTCTACAGTCACCCGACCAATATTTCACAAAATCGCAAAAAGATCTAACCTATTTTTTTCGCGCGATGCTAGGACTTTTAAATTTACAGGCAATTAACAAATTGCGGTGTTTCATGTTTATAAAATTATTTTACTCGTTTAACTTATAGATGTATGTGAATTGAACTGAAACGATTTAAAAGCCTAAACATACATAGACTTTATCGACCCATTAAAAATATATATATTCATAGATATATGGAAGAACCCAAGGGGTAGTTTAACTTGTGATCAATGACTTTTCATTAATTAAGGCTCATATTTATTTTACTTTATATTCATTTTTTGTGTTTTATTTATTCATATATTTAGTTATTTTTGTTGTTGTTTTTTGTTATTGTTGTTTCACAAGATTCTTTCAGCATGGACATATAAGTATATGTTTCAATTAACAATATTAATGATAGATTCAGGGTAATTTGTTACTATGTGTCTGAATGACTTATTCGATTTACGTTTATGGTTTTCAGATCACATTTTGTCCTAAAATTGGTTCAGGCACAGTAAACTTTTATAATTTTCAAAAATACCTAAGCAATATTTCAAACGAATGTAGATTTTACCGTAGGAATATAACATCGGAATCCCTCCGACAAATTTTGCTATTTTGAAATATCGATTTACGTACTTTGATAGTGTCAAGCAGCCATTCAGACTTCAAACAATTGTTTGTTTCATATAATTGTCAAATGAACAAATTAAGTAATATAAGCTAGAACAAGACACTTACAATCCATATAAATTACTTTAAGTTATTACTTAGATTAACGGACAATGTTTCAAACGTCATAATTGTTAAAGATGGAGGTTTACCATCCGAATATAGTACAAACATTTTAAGTTGAAAATCTACCCTGTTTTAAGTCAGAGGTATATATTAAACTACAAATCTTTCTTAACTTATGATTTCTCAAGATAATATAAAAGAAGAAAGAAGTAAAAAAAAATCAAGAAAAAAGTTTGCCTACAGTGGGGCTTGAACCCATCCCTAATTAAAACTCTGTTCACTGTAGATAAATACTCTCCAGAAAGGAGGCTCTTTATGAGGCAGTATTACATTAATATACGCAACTAGGGACTAACTTATAAACAAAGCCAACAAACATTGTAGATCAGTAGCTTTGAAGCGATCCGACAGGTATTTAAAGATCCTGTATGTTGTGATCAAAGTGGTAAACCACACTAAGTAAAATTATATATATGTTTATAATTATGCAAAGAAAAAAAATTCAAACATCGAAAAATATGTAAAATATGTACTGCAAATATTTGTGCATATTATTTGTAATCATTAAAATATATACATTTATTTCTTACTTAAACTTTATAGAAAATAAAGTTTTTATTACCTCCCTTTTATTTACATGAACTGTTAAATTCGGTAATATCTTTTTGGAACCTACAATATTGATACATCTTAATTTGAGCATCATATTTATGATTTAAAACCATAACAAATTGTGTTACAGGATCTTTAAAATTTTACATTTTTTCACGGCTGATTAATTCTCTACAGCCACAGCCGTAAAAAAGTGTAATACAATGTACTTAAAATTTTAGTTGGATCGCTTCAGTGCTACTAATCAACTTTGTATGATGGCTTTGTTTAAAAAGCTATACGTCCCTTTGTTTAAATTGCGTATATCATCGTAATGCTGCAAGTTTATTGTGCTAGCTTATATTAGCTTTTTTTCGCTTGATAAAATATTTACTTTATATCTGGATCATGGTTGTTTTATACTTTTTTCGTTATGAAATCGTTATTTCAATACAGCCAAATTTGTCGGAGGGATACTAAAGTATTATTTATGGTGTAAAATCCACATTCGTTTTTTTTCTCTTTTTTACCTTTTTATTTAGGTGTTATATAATTCATGGTGTGAAACCAACATTCGTTGTTTCTTCTTTTTTTAGGCGTACTGTGACAGAATCAATTTTAGGAAAAATTCAGGTCGGAAAACCATATTTAATGTTTACAAAGAAATTCAGACATACATGTAGCAATAAACCATATTAAACTGCCCATTAACGTGTATACATTAAAAATCTTGAGGAATTTAAAACTGGGTCGATACAATATCCAATTGCTATTTTTAGATATATATACAGCGTAACAGTTCGGTTCACAAGAGCTATATGACATACTTATTTTCAGTCCCACGCCCCAGGAAATTTCAAATATTTTTTTTCTTTTACCTTGTTTTTCTTATTGAAAGCATATCACCATTACTATATCAATAATTATAAATATACATTAACTTATAATAGGATAGATGGAATCGGGTATTTTATTAATGTTTAACAATTAAAATGGACCTATATAGTTTACTACAGGCAAAGACAACAACAACAAAACTGACACAAGAAAATAATGCATTGACACAATTCGCAGACATTTTATAGAATCGGGTTTTTATAAATATTTGAGAATTTCTATTTTTTACTTTGCTGGCAAGTGTAAAACCAACTGATTTTTTTCGTTTTGTCATCAGTTTTTCCCCTTACCGATAATCTATTTTTAGAAAACTTTTCAATTGGGTATAGTATATAAATACTAGTCTAAACCAGCAGAAAATTAAATCGGGCCTAAGTTAACAGAACCTGCAAGGTAAGAATTTCTTAAACTGTTTACATAGGACTTTTTTTAATAAAAAGTTCAACTTTATTTCATAAATACTTTTGTTAACATTATTCGAACAAATTATATCACACTTAAATACCTTTAATTGAACACTCATTTAGAAACGCATCCGACGACGCCATTAAATTATCAACTGGAGCTTAATTTAATAATAAAAAAATTAAATAAATAAAATATGAAAATAATTTTCTAATTAGATTAAGTGTATTCTAATGATCCATTACCGAGACTCAAATGAATGTTAACTGAACAATAGAAATTGAAGGCATCACAGTCTACTATAGGAAACTTTACAGTCTCATATCAAAGATCCGAGTAAAATGTTATTTTTATGACCACTTTAAACACATAAATGTGTTATTCATTTTTCGATTTATTTTTATATATTTATTTTTTTTTTTTAAACATTAAACATTATTTCATATGTTGATAAAGTTGTTAGTGAAATATGAAAATTTATAATAATAATAATAATTTGTTTTAGCTCAATTCATTAAGTGCTATATGAATCTATGTCATATCAAATCATGTATTTTACTCTTGCCAACAACATCTATACATAATTATTTCGTGGTTTGTTGTTATATTTGATACTAAAACTATCAACGATTCAACGTAATTATTTATTGTATAAGGTATCTGCCATTATAGACCTATTCAATTTAGAACAGGCTTTATTTTTCCCTATGCAACTTGGACATTATACTGTGTCAATTAAAGACGAATTTAAAATAGACAAGGAATAAAATCAAAATAATTTTAGATACATAAATTAATGAGTAAGTACATAACTTTTTAGATAGATGATTATAAAACGAACGAACGAACAAACCAACGAACGAATGAATGAATATAAGTTGATTTTTCTGTTGCAGGGATTTAGCATTCAACAAAAAAAAACAATGGAGAACAAACAGACGGCATCTCAGCTCACGTTCAGCTTAGATCTATTGCCACAAGTAGCAAAGCACATCGAGTTTCTTGAACATGTTGCAGAAGTTCAGGACCTTAGAAACGAAAATATCCTGAAACATGCTGCATACAGATACGAGAATTATTGGCTTCCCCTTGCTGCTGAACATCCGAACGAATGTCTTGCAGCCCCTGTAGACATTGAGTGGATCTGGCTGTGCCACATGCTTTCACCAAAGCAGTACGAGAGCGACTGCCTTGCCCTCGTTGGAACCGTCATTAATCATACATTTTACAGTGGACAGGAAAGACAACAACTCCTCCAAGTGTCCGAGAACCACTGGCTTCAGATGTATGGACCAAATGAGGAACCGTTTACTATGGAACCACAGAGCATAGGCAATGAAAATACCGCAGATACCACTTCTTCACTGTCTTATGATGTTGTTGCTGCTGCCTTGAGACAGGAATCTTTCTATGATAAAATATCATCAACTGAAAAAAGAAATGGAGAGAACCAAACCAGCAGTTTGGACAGGTACAAGCAGTTTATTTATTTATGCAAACTGCTTCCAACATTATTTTTCTCTCCGCCTATTGACGTAGATCTGCTTTGGCACACCCACCAAGCGAATCCACAAGCTTACAAGTCTGACATGTGTAGAATTCTTAAAAGGCTGCTCAATCATGATGACACAAGCACGAGTGATAAAGAGTTCAAAGAAGCAAATGCACTAACAGGTGCACACTGGGAGATGTTATACAGGGAACCTTGTTTGGCCGAAATGGGCACGTGCGGTAATCGTTGTCGTGTCATGTGCACTCGTTGTACAGTCCATTAAATCAAATCAAGTGACTAAATCCAGGCAAGGCGTTGAAATGGTGAATCTTTGTTGTGAGGAACAATAAAAGAGCGAAGTAAAACAATAACTACAGATTTACCGGGTTGCTTAAGTTATTATAAAAGAAACTTTCTCGAACATTTTACATTAGCTGGACTAGAATATTTGCATTCATTTTGTATATGGTTAACTGCCAATACACTGGTAATCATGTTTAGGCATATGTTTTCACACTATCAATAATTTAAAACTAACATGCTTTTTTATGAAAATAAACACAAATATCATAGACATACTTGAATGGTTTATCTTTCTCTCTCACCATTACTATTTACCGGAATAATAAATTATAAGCAAAATAAAATATAGAAGAAATACAATTTTTAATATTATATAGTTAAAAATATCGGCTGATCCTTAACAAACGTTCACTGTAGATAGCTTGTAGACAGAAAAAACTGGTTCTTAAGATTGATAAAACCTTTTGTTTGACTTATAATATGATAACAGAAATATTTTAGCGTCGACGATCTTTTCTGACATCCCTCTACCCTTGCCCTGCTGGATCATTTTGCGATACAAAAATAGTCTGGTACATTCCTGCGTATCACAGCGGAGGAATAAAATTGACTTTCCTTATAGGGTAGAGTTTTTATCCCAGATCTATGCTGGTCCAAAAGTCAAATTACTTTTTTTGCAGTAATTAATACTGGACAGGATCTACGCACAAGTGCACGAACCGTAATCAGGACCAAAATACAAACCAAAGTAAAATTGAATTCAAAGCATAATTCACTTCAACGAAACATCTCAAATCTGTCTCAAAAATACTCGTTTTGTTATAAAAAGGGGTGTAGTTGTGTATGCATTTGATGATATTTCATTGTCATAAATTGTGTTTTAAATTATTTTCAACATATATTTTTTCCAACTTTAAATCCTGTTAATGCTAAGTGCCCCTACGAATTCGTTTCAAATTTTTAATAAGCACGATTTGTTTGTTTTAAAAAATGGCCAAACGCTGAGTGTATTAGGAGAATACCTAAGCATCTGTTTAAAATGTTAAAGATCGCAGGCTCGATTTCCGGCATGGTCGTCCTAGACATAATAAATACAACACAGATATGCATGGTTGTATGTGTTCAAACCCCGTCAGAGAAAGTCGTTGTTTCCTTGAACAAGAAACTACGCTCATTTCTCAGTACTGGTTGGTTCCAGGAACGGATTCGAAATTGTGTCTATAAGATTATAGCTTCCAACACAATCAGACTAAATTAAGTTCTGTATAAACCAAATGCGCCGCGCCATGACAAAACCAACATAATGGGTTTGCGACCAGCATGGATCCAGACCAGCCTGCGCATCCTCGCAGTCTGGTCAGTATCCATGCTGTTCGCTTACAAACCCTACAACAAGTAGAGAAACTGATTGCGAACAGCCTGGATCCTGATCAAACTGCGCGGATGTGCAGGCTGGTCTGGATCCATGCTGGTCGCAAACGCACTATGATGGTTTTGTTATGGCGCGGCTCAAATACAAAACGACAGAAGAGCGCACTACGGACTATTTGCGAGTGACTGTACCAAACAGAACTTCTCAAAAGGTGTACCTAATTTTCTTATCCATTTTTTAAGTATAGGAGATCGAAAATGTTCAGAAAATGTTTCACTCAGGTTTTGGACAACTGGTCACCCCTTAATATTGTAGTCCTTATATAATATTGGGTTGAAGAAAGTGGTAAGTACGTACTCAAATGAAAATGACGTTTTACACATTTGTTTTATTTATTTGATAATGTTTTTTTTTATTTCATTACTTCGAGGGGTGAGTCGTTGAATCGTTGTGTCGTTCTGCTGATAAGCAAGGGCAATGAAGATAAATCTGTTCAGTCCTATATCCAAACGATAACCGCACATGTATATGAATCATGTTTGAATAGTTGTTTGTTTTTTCTCTCCATTTTTTGTTCGTTAGCATGTAAATAATTCAACACAATAAGTAATTAAAGACTTTATTTCAACATATATATAATACATACATTTTATATGTAAGTGTAATGCACATGTGTATTTGATTATTAGTTCATGTTATATTATGCAATATTAAGTTTCTTCTAGTAAAACATACATATTTATATGTGATTGTAATGTATTTAATCACAAGTTCAGGTTCTATTGTGAATTATTAAGTTTCTTCCGGTTAGAACATAATGCAATTTATCTTATTTACTTTTTTTTATTTCTTAGTGTTTAAAAGCTTTATGCATGCAACACAATTAATTCTATTAAGAATTGTTACATAAAATGTGTAATTACATATCTTTTAGAGACTATTATATGACTGTTATATGTCACCATTTACCTATATTTATTATAAAATGATTGATTGTATACCATGACACTCATGGGTTTGTAACCTTTTGTGAATAAAGATTATTATTATTATTATTATTATTATATAAGTTTGCAAAACAAGTAACTATAACAATGTTTTTATAAACAGAAGTTTCTCTTAGGTAGGTAAATGAAATGTTGCACGTCCTATTGAGTGTACGTTTGACTGATAATTATAAAAAAATAGTAATAATCCACATGGATGGAGTAAGCAATAGCTTAATCGGTAGAGCACGTAGCTCGGAAGGACCATTCTGCATGGCAAAAGGCTATCAGAATTCTTAAAAAAACGTTTATTGTTCATCGTAATCATAAAGTATAACTTTAATGGTATGTATTTGGTTTATCACTTGCAGTTTACCTATATTTAAGTTGATCTTTTAATTGACAGACTGCGGGGATGCGCAGGCTGGTCTCGATCCATGCTGGTCGCAAACCCATTATGTTGGTTTTGTCGTGCCGCGGCTCAAATTATTGTGATATGCATCAATTTGATAAAGTACACGAATTAAGTAAACTTCTTTTGAAGAAACAAAACTAAGTAAATTTTTTTTCTGGTGGTTTCTTTTTGTAAGGGAAAGGCTTTTTACTTCCTCTGGTGTAAGCTCCAGACTTGGGACAATATAAAATGTCTCTCAGATAGTAGGCAATTATATCAACAGTATTTGAAATGATATAAATGAATCATTATCATACAATATAAAATAAACATTCTTAAATCATACAAACAATCATAACCTTGAACAGAACTAGCATGATCCAAACAACATCAGTCAGATACTATCCATTAGAAAACTATGCAAGCAAGCAAATTTCTTCTAGAACTTCTATCTCCACAGTGTGATATGTCAAATCTCTTGTACATAACATATATGAGCCGCGTCACGACAAAATTAACATAGTGCCTTTGCGACCAGTATGGATACAGACCAGCCATCGAATCCTTGCAATATGATCAGGATCCATGCTGTTCGCTTACAAACCCTATTGCAAGTACTGACAGCGAACATCATGGATCCTGATCAGACTGCGCAGATGCACAGGCTGGTCTGGATCCATGCTTGTCGCAAACGCACTATGTTAGTTTTGTCGTGACATGGCTCAAGTATTGAACAATAGGCGATCATGTGGTGTCAAAGCTGTATGTTCATAAGTAACGTTTTATAAGGTGTAAAATAAGAAATGTAAAGCTCGCCATTTCACTCTTTCTAAAACTCGTTTGATACATTTAATTAATGATAATTATCTACTTTAAAAAAAATATTGAGAAATAATAATGCAATACAATGCCTATTTTCATTTTCCGTAATTCCACTGTAAACAATTTGAGCCTCGTCACGACAAAACCAACATAATGGGTTTGCGACCAGCATGGATCCAGACCAGCCTGCGCATCCGCGCAGTCTGATCAGGATCCATGCTGTTCGCTTATCAACTCTATTACAAGTGGAGAAACTGACAGCGAACAGCATGGATCCTGATCAGACTGCGCAGATGCGCAGGCTGGTCTGGATCCATGCTGGTCGTAAAACCACTATGTTGGTTTTGTCATGACACGGCTCAATTTATTTCTTCCCACTTCAGTGAAACATATTCTGATGTCTTGCCGGACTACTTTCTTCTAAATTCAACCAATACACAATTTCTAAAAATATTAAGAGTTGTAATGTCAAACAGGTAAAAGAGAAAAAGCACATAATAAACAGAAAATTCAAGAAAATACAGAATTTGTTTTCATCTTGTGACATAAAAATTAGCATATCTCATCTGGGGCTACCGCTACTTTGGAACTATTTTTTTTCATACCATTCGATGAAAATACATCCTGTATTTCAAAGAAAAAACTTGAACATCCTCTTTATCATATGTGAGATTCAAAATATTTTGTATACATCCGAGTTAAATTTACTATGACGTCAAAGTTCACAACCAATCATATCAAAACGAACTATCCTTTCACCATGATGACTTGTGGGATAAAGAGATAAGCAGGCGACATCAAAGGGCGTCTGGAACAAATTCACTACTGCTTCATTTCCGGCGTCCGGAATCACATTAGCTTCAAAATTCTGTAGTGAAAGGAATCCAGTAAGTTTTTAGCACATAAGTATTTCATGTTTGACTTTTCACAAGCATAAAATTGAGCCGCGTCACGACAAAACCAACATAATGGGTTTGCGACCAGCATGGATCCAGACCAGCCTGCGCATAATCAGGATCCATGCTGTTCGCTTATAACAAGTATAGAAACTGATGGCGAACAGCCTGGATCCTGATCAGACTGCGCGGATGCGCAGGCTGATCTTCATCCATGCTGGTCGCAAACCCATTATGTTGGTTTTGTCGTGACGCGGCTCAAATGATAGTCATGTAATTACGTATACATGTAGTTGTACAACTTCTTCTCTTTTTCATTTATCTTTTCAATGTATGAAATAGTGGTTCTATTCTAATATAGACCTTTATATGAATTATCTTATAACAAATGAACAGGTTTGGAAAAAATGAAAAATCCTTCTTTTTTATTTTAGGATTAGGGAAAAGATCAGCTGATCTGTTTAAATCAAACGATACCTACGGTTTTGTTATCCGCCCAGATCCAGTTGTAACAGTCAACACTAGCATGTAGATTATAGTACGTCACCCTGTCATCACAGCAAGACTCTAACGATTCATTTCGCCATCTTCCTTGTATGGCAAATCCTCGAACTCTAGAAAACTTTCGTAGCACAATCTGTGGGGAATAAAAAACAGTTCACAGTATCAAATACGGCATATAAAATAGACATATGAGATGTTAGCAATGGTAATTGTATCTTGTAACATAACACTTTTATATCATGCCATAGACAGCCAGATAAATTGCCGCATATCTAATTTCCTCTAGAAGTTTAATAGTTGGATGAAAATCGTTATTTATTCTTGTAAAACATATTAATATATCTAATTCAGATACCCATTTGTCTAGAATATGACATACATATGTAATTTAACGGGACGAGAAACTGTCATATCCGCAGTCTTATTTGATGACACCAGTGTCTTTTTTGTTTCCTAGCTGGCCCAATGAAGGAATGCAACTACTTTATGTCTCGTCACTGATTTAAAGCTATGATCCGCCCTTAATCAACTTGAACCCTGGCCACCAGTAAGGAGCCGGGCCAACATGCACATAATTGCAGTCTGACAATGCTTTATATAGTTATATCATAATTTTTAGAGTTTTCATTTTGATATACACACTTTGATTAAAAAAAACAGGTCTTAAGGCCCATTATGCCACATACATACTAGTAAAAAAAACAACAACAACAAAACACTTTGATTTTTGGTATCTAGTTACAAGTTTCAAAGACCTACATATTTGCATTATTCATGTAAAACTCCATTGGCAATCGGTATAATTATAGTGCATTAGTATTTTGTATTGAAGTCAAAATACTACTTTGTAAAAATTTGCTACCTTTATGACACATTACTGCACGCTCAGTACTATTTTCTTCAATTGTTTAACATCTAACATGATTTAAATCCATTATTCAACACTATTAAACATACATTTGACATTTCTAAAAGAAATTAAAATATATTGATTTCTGAGGCATATTGTGCCCTTAAATGAACGCCTGAAAAGGCCATCATAGAAATCCAGCAGATCAAATTAATAAAACATTTAACAGTCATGTACTCAACCGGAGCAAAGCAACTGTAACAAAATATCTCTTTAATAATAACGACTAAGTAAATGTGTATTTACATATAAAATGACCGGACTTTACAGCAAGCTATATACATTAGATGAGCGATACCTCAATATTTGATAAACAAAAGTACAGTAATCTCAATAGATGCTGACTACTTACATGTGTATAAACTCCAACTACAATGTGGCCACCAATATCACCGTTTCCACCCGGAACAAAGTTCAGTTGAGTTTGCTCTGGGGTGTATTGGTTAACCGCCAGGCCTAGATATTGGACACACTCTCCAAGGACTTTCAGAAAAAGATAAAAGTACACATCTTGAAAATGGTTCGGTTTCGGTGTGTGTTTGTTTGGTAACATTTTATTCGTTTTCTTTACCCAATTACTTTTTATTTGGTAAGTCACAACTATTTACCACCACTCGGCCAACCACCTCTTATCTGCTAAAGTATAAATTATGATTTTCATAAACATTAAATTGATATAACATTGGAATCCACACAGAAAAAAACTTCTGAATATCAAATGTCCGAAAGATATAACGACTGTAAATATGATTTGTAACTCTCTTTATCCATGTATTTATTCATTGTTCTTCCCATGGCCAATTTCTTTCGTATATGACATTATTCTCCGCTTGTGCCACCCTAATGTTTCCCTTTTTCTCCTCATTAAGTATACTCTTTTTCCCTCAAAATATTCTTATATTAAGTTCTTCTCTTTGAACTTAGTTTGCTTGTTATCTTCTTGTTTCTCTATTTCCCCTAATTTTACCCAATGCAATCACGTATCAAGTATGTCTTTCAATATCAAGCGTATAATACCTATTTCAAGCAAAATATGCAAAAGGTGAATATATTATGATATACATGAAAAACAAATGTATCTTTCAGTTAACCTTTCTCTTTGACATCAAGAAGGAAGGGCTGGAATACAGCAAATTACAAACTATAATCATATCAAACGAGTTGTCATGGCAATTTGGAATATATTGAGTAATAAATGCAGACCTGTTACTATTACCTTACTAAAATATACTCACCTTTTTGTTTCTTGTATGCTTTCCAGCTGTTCCAGTCCAAATCGGGACAGTTTTCCTCTTTCACAATAGAGTTGATTAGGTAACATTCCTCACTTATTTCCTTGAAGTATAATCCGATACATCTTAATAGAAATAGTGCTTTTACATTTATAAGTATTTGTTCATTAATATATTTAGTTGGTCGGTCGGTCAGTTAGCGAGTAAAAGAAGCAAAACTACATAGTAGCACAGAGTAAAACACTGAAAAAATCTACAAATTAGTGATGATGACTTAGATAAAGAAAAATGTGGGTTTTCTAACTATGGATTTTTGCCCGGATTACTAAAATCATATTTCTCCAAACCATAACTAAAGTAGATACACTGATACCAGAATTATATCAAATTTCATTCCATGATATATCTATTTTTTTTTACTCTTAAACAGGATCTTTCACAGGACATTTCTAGCTGGAGAATATCCAAATGAGTCGAGATCAGGAATATTTGTATATTACATAAATGGGGTAGACCAGGAACATACAAAAATGTTTTCTGTTTGACCAAATGCATCGATAATTTTTTGATAATATAAACATGCTTCTTCTTTATACAAATATATAAAACATTACTATTCATTCATGTGTTTGATAGAATACTTAGTTTTAACTTTGTATAACGTGTGTCATTTGAAACTATTTGAAGAATGTGCACATAGTTGTCTTTGTTTTCTGTTATTTGATCGAGTACTATATTGACAACATGTGAACCTAAATATCATTTCATATTCTCTTTTAAATTAATGAAATACATGTTAACTACGATAAAAAAAACTTTTTGGACATAAATATTCTGACCGTTTTATGTGTATATATACGTCAAACATAAATAACTTTTTTATCATTGATTGGTCAGATATTTTGTTTATAACTTTTAAATATATTTATGTTGTTTATTATAATGTTTGAACATAAATATTCTCACGTTTCTCGAGTTGGTCAAATATGGCGTTGACAAATTGTAAACAAAGACATTCTTTCTTTTATGTGTTGGTTAAATAATACATTGTCTAACTGTAAAATTAAATGACATTCTTACCTGTGCTCTAAACAGCATTTCAATGAACAGACCATAAACGGAATGGCCAGAACGCTGCTTTTTACACATTTGTACTTCCGGTATGAGTCATTGGGCGTTAGCCAACATCCCATGTTTTTGTCTGACTTCATCAGAGCTAAAACATGTAAAACCAGCAAACCAAGTCCAGTCAAAAGACAAAGATAACTTGAATTCTGAAATTTAATAGTAAAAGTCTTATTCTAGATTGCATTGCAAAACTATTTTAGGGAACGGACGAAAACAAGGGTCAAATACCTAACATAATGTTCTGGGAGAAAGATCAAATTATATCAATTTACAATGGAGAATATTCATTGCCTTTATAGCTTTGCGACTCAAATATTGCTGATTTAATATAAATTACGGGTATAGATAAAATAAATAATTAAAATCATTAACTTCTTCAATATTTTGCAATATTTTGCCTATAATTGCCAAATCGTCTGCATAAAGTTAAAGTATTAAATTAATATCATCTAATATTAAACATGAGTCAGGACGGTTTTGAAGGTACAAATCGATGTCTTCTAAAATAATGAAAATAATAGAGAAGTCATAACCTCCCACTGACGAAGGCAAACAGTATATTGAAAATAGAACAAACTTTAACACGAGACTTAATTTTCTGGTACATATCGCGAACAATTCTCAACAATTTACCCTTTATTTCAAATTTCTACAATTTTAACCACAAACCATTTCTATCAATAGAATCAAAAGACTTTATCATATCAACAAATATAACAATTAATATTTTATTTTCATTTAAATATTTTTCAACCAATGGCATACGTACACATATAGAATCTACAGTAAACCATCATTTACGAAATCCGAAGTGCATCCGAAATAGTGTTATGTTCGGTACAAATTTTCTCAATTCGATTTTTGATAACACTAGTATACTTTTTTGACATTTTTGAGTAATTCGGTTTCCTCTATAATCATTTACGGCATTGTGACAATTCCTTTTGTGTAAAGGGATTATAATACCTTCTGTCCATTTCTCAGAAAAAATACCCGAATCTAAAATACCATTAAATACATCACCAATATGAGCCGATTTAAAATATATACTTTCATTAAAATACTCGTTTAACAAACAGTCTCTACCATAAGTTTTGATGATTAAAAAAATTTATGGCAGTCAGAATTTTACACTGGTCTAATCCTAAGAAAATTCCATTCGAATTCATGAAATCATTTTTATCACAAATCAGATAAGCCTCCTCATTGCAACAAGCAAATAAGTCTTTCCTTAAATTAGAGAATATTCTTTAAATTATTCCACAGTAACCTAGTAACATTTTCCCAAATTGTTAGATTTCTTTTTAAAATATTTCAAAAACACATCTTGGTTTACCCTTTCTTTAAATTTTCTATCTCAGACATTTCCATATTGTATTGTAAACTTTCCTTTGTCTAACAATACTTAAGATTTATAAAATGACTTATTTTGACAGAAAAAAAGTAACGCTCGTTAAATAGGTGAAAAAATACCTAAACGAATACCAGCGTAAGCCTGCACGGTTGCACACATTTTTTACTCTTACAATTTGAATTTTTTCTATTTCAGTTTATCATTTGGACTTTATTTCTTTGAAATTATAGAATTCGATTTTAAATATTTTAAATCTCATTTGACACTCAAAACAATATTAAAGCCATAATAACGAGAATTTACATGAAAGAAATATACGAAATTTTACGTTACCTTCATTTCTGCCAACGTGTCCCTTGAATGATCGGTTTCACAGTATTAAAATAAATGTAATTGATGGCATTAGTCAAACACTTGTTTGGAAGTGAATAGGGACAATGCGCAAGGCTTCATTGAATGAAAAAACGGACTCTAACTCAATTGTAATTCTGAATCGAATCGTGAAATGAATACATTTCATAAAAAATTGATGCGAAGCTTTTTTACATAATGCTATAATGAACTATAATAATAATGATAGCCAGATCAAATGATTTTTAGGACTTTTAGTATCACAATAAAACAGCACAGCTTACATTGATTTCTATTCAACTCTGCGCACCGGAAATCGCACACCTAATTTGAAGCATATGTGCTAAAGGCGTGACTTGAACAGGCGTGATAATGACACGAAGTAATCATAACTATAGACAATAAGAAGAACCGTTTTTATAATTTAAAAAAAGTTGGTTTCTTTTGTGAAAAAAGGTACAAACCTGTATACGTTATCTGTTCATGTTGAACACAAACAGAAGAAGCTCACCAGTAAATTCATATGTCAAATAAGCTTATTTGGGAGCTAGGTAAACAAATAGATGTTTTACGGCAATGTATATCGTTAATTTTTATACTTGTCTTAAACAGAGCAGAAAATTTAAGTAGAAAATTGTTGATCTTGCTATAATTTTTTATGTTTCTTCAACTTTTGTATAAATGTTCATTATTCTAATTTCTGATGTTTCTTCAACTTTTGTATAAATGTTCATTATTTTAATTTCTGATGCTTCTTCAACTTTTGTATAAATGTTCATTATTTTAATTTCTGATGTTTCTTCAACTTTTGTATAAATGTTCATTATTTTAATTTCTGATGTTTCTTCAACTTTTGTATAAATGTTCATTATTTTAATTTCTGATGTTTCTTCAACTTTTGTATAAATGTTCATTATTCTAATTTCTGATGTTTCTTCAACTTTTGTATAAACGTTCATCATTTTAATTTCTGATGTTTCTTCAACTTTTGTATAAATGTTCATTATTTTAATTTCTGATGTTTCTTCAACTTTTGTATAAATGTTCATTATTTTAATTTCTGATGTTTCTTCAACTTTTGTATAAATGTTCATTTTTCTAATTTCTGATGTTTCTTCAACTTTTGTATAAATGTTCATTATTCTAATATTTGATGTTTTTCAACTTTTGTATAAATGTTCATTATTCTCTTGTGTTGATGATGACTTTTAATAGCTTATCAGCTTAATAGCGCGATGATAAAAGGTCAACAGTACGATGAAGAGAAGGCGAAATAACAAAATTACGATGGTGGAAACCCGATATAATTTCGTGTTGTTGTTTTTTTACTATCATTCTTTCGACTTTTCACCATCATGATTTCGTTATTTCGACTTTTCACCATCGTACTTTGGACTTTTAATCATCGAAACTTTGATTTTTCACCAACGTATGTTTGTTATTTCGACTTTTCACCATCGTAATTTTGACTTTTTATCATGGAACCTCCGATTTTTCACCAACGTAGTTTCATAATTTCGACTTTTCACCATCGCAATTTTGTGTTTTCGCCGTTACGAAGCATGTGTTAGTCGCGATGGATCATTTAATGAGTAGCTTTAATATTAATACCGAAGCTCATATTCATCGAATTCTTTGTTAATATGATTTAGAGACAAATTTGTTCATGTTTTCTCCAAAGTAAAAACATAATTCCATTGTGCTATTTAAATACTTTGACGTTTCTAACAAAGAATTGACATTCATATGAATAATAACTCATCTCTTTTCTATCAGAAAATTCAGTTTTGTTAGCAAAAGCATGAAAAACAATATAATACCAGTTCTATCAGCTTACAACCATAAAATTGTCTGCTTTTGACGGGAATATAAAAAGGTAATACAACAACAATGGTAAGCACACATGAATTATAAATAAACGACAGGTATCGATTGTATAAAAAGAACTATTATGCATAAAATTGTTTACGCTGATATTAAAAGGGCAGGTTCGACTGCATACGTTATATCTTTTAAATAAACATTGTATTTTATAAACCATTACTATAACAAATAGCATATAATTATCCTTAACCTTTTATTTTTTTGCTGCTGTTGTTGTTGTTGACGTTTTTTGTTATGGTCTTTTAACATTTCAATCACAATGTTTTACATGTATTTACATTGTAAGCTAAACTACAACTGCTGCTTGAGGATGTAATCAAGCTAGTTTCACGGACAGTCGTTCTACTTATGTACCCACTAATAAGAGAGCCCAAGAAGTCACCATTTGATCTTTACAGATCTACAGATGCACTATAAAATTCATTTTGGGAAAGCAGAAAAAAAGTCCTTTGCTGGGCATGTTTTTTAACTTTGATCCTTAGATAATAAATAAAACGTAACGTTCATTTGGGAATGTAAATTTACCCTCCAGCCTTCTGAAACATTTACCAATTTTGGTTTCATGTTTTTTTCAATTAACCACAGTGTGGTGTTTTCTATGGATACATTTCCTATCAAATCATATCAGGAATATAGCATCACCCAGACATTTGCTTTCAGATAATTTAAAGGTGGCCAGGGAGCAGCACGCTCTCCATGCTTCAAAAGTCGCAATTAAAAATGTGGCATACAAATGCAAAGTTTAAGTTACCGAACAGAAATAATATAACTAAGGTTATTGATACCTTTAGCTTTAGACCTAAAATATGTATAGAGAGTATCTCAAAGTGCATCTGCATATAAAGTTAGGGGTTCTAAGATCATGTTTTTTTAAATTTGACAAAATAAAGAATAATGATTTTGTAATTAAAGATCAAAATGACAAGGGCAATATATTGTTCTTAGTGACAAGGACCTAATATCATTATTTTTGGGTGAATGTGACACGGAGAACATATCAATATACATCTGTATTCAATTCTTACATTCCTACGTGCAAAGTATCTAGGTCAATTGACTTTGATTGAATTGCCAGTTTTATGTTTTGATATTTACATGTCCTAATGGTCTTTGACTTTTTGACTGTAAGATCGAGCTAACTGAGGTACAGGCAAAATTTTAAGTTCCTAGGTTAATGCACGCTGCTTTAATACTCCGTTTTAATTTCTAAATCAGGATGACATTTATTATTGAGCTTTTAGCCTTATCATGCATGTAACATGTATGCCCCCTGTATAACTCCTAAACGTGCATAATAAAAATATTAATCATATGATTATTGATGTGACATATTAAGTTATTTCGTTGGATAACAAATTATAATTCGGTCAGCTACATCTAGAGTTATCTTTTTGTTCATTACATTTGCAAAATAAAATTACATCGTCTATTTAGAGGATGACCCATGAACATGTCATACTCACAGCAATAATTCATTTTTGAACCACCAGGAATAATAATGTCGTTGAAAAAGTTAACAATTAAAATTAAATACGTAAGCTGCTTGTCAAAATTCATTTGAAAATCTGACGTCAAAGGGGGATTAATAACAGCAGTTAGCTTCATTTATCAATTTAAGGGACAGGCAATAATTATAGATAAAAGAGCAGACCCGATTCTTGACATTTATTTTGTATAGAAAAATATACACAACCAATTAAAATTTCATTAGTTCCTAGAAAGACCAGCTTCCATTGTATAAATCATTAATCATCATACATCTGTAAAATTTGTAGTTGCGTCTTTATATACCATTGTAACGTGCAAGGTGTTAGTTAGAATCAACGAAATACGAGCCTGCGCATCCGCGCAGTCTGATCAGGATCCATGCTGTTCGCTTACAAACTCTATAACAAATACAGAAATTGATAGCGAACAGCATGGATCCTGATCAGACTGCGCGGATGCGCAGGCTGGTCTGGATCCATGCTGCAAAACCATTATGTTGGTTTTGTCCTGACACGGCTCATATATATGATTATCGTTACGACTCCCTAACTTTTGATTACTTACAAATCGTTATCAAATTGGTTATAAAATCATTTTATAATAAAACGACATTTAACTGAAATCTATTGTGTACACATATGTCAATTGTTTTTGAAAACACGTCTGCACCAATACAATGTACGAGATGTGTCCCAAGTTCGCATAATACTTCTATCAGATAAAACAAATATTGTCATAACGTTTTCAAGCCTATACATGTGTAAATTCAATATATTTTCAACTTTGATGCATACTTTCATACATTTTATTGGCATGGGTTTACAAATAATATACAATTCATACGGAAGTAGCGGTGCAAGTAACGACGTAATTTCGACATCAAAGTGATTTGAAAAGTGAAGTTTTTACCCGACATGCACGTTATGATGCATGTATCATTTATATGGTCCTTTACAATTAGCATGGGCATCCAGCGTATTGGATCGTATACAAAGAAGAAACAAAAAGATAATCTATTAAAACTCTGTATGCAGTTGAGATCAACAACATAATCACATAAATATATTTATGGCAAGTGTCTATATAAATATAAAGCTTACAATTAAAAGCACTTCTCTTCAGAGTTGTAATATTTTTCTGGCACTTTGGAATCAGCACTTTTAAGTGTTGGTAATTGTGTACCGCTCAAGCCCGGCGTTTTCATTATCCCTCATGTGCAAACTCAATCAAACCGAATTTGCAATATTCATGTAATTTTGATGTTTTTAATGCTCCCGAGGGATCACTTTTTTAAGAAATTTATGTACATCTAAACAACAGGTGGCATGTGCTGTGTGGCAGCCGTAAAAAATTGCCCCGTACTTCACTCCAGCGATTACTTTTTTTCTTGATATTTATAAGAGTATAAAATATAATTCAGAGTTCAAAATTTAATTTCATAGTTTCAAAGTTTCTTTAAAATATTTACAAACAATTATTTATACACATGTATAGTTCTATTACAAATACAAAGCAATTCGATAAATTTAAACAAAGATGGTCTGTTACAATTATAACTTTTAAGATATTTTCAGCGTTAATCTACTTATATTGAACATACACATATGAAATGATACTCATCCCATCCTCTAAATCTATAATATTACATCACTGTCATATTTGTTCACGAGGAATTTTATAAGAAGAGGCATACCTTCCTGTTTGATTCAGAGCGGATGAACACATTCTAAATTTTGCATGGTAAAATATCATGATAATTTTCGTAACAAAGACACGATTTAAACTGTTTGTAACTCATAAAAAACAGAACTTTGATCTGGATATACTGGCCCATTCTTGTTAAACGTATCTATAACACTACATTCTAGGATCTACATAATCATTTCTATCAAAACTATCAGCAAAGCCAAGATCGAACAACAACTTTTGAGACTCAATATTTACACCCTCTGTTACAATCAGTTACACCTACGCCACTTGTGAAAATACTGTGTTAAAGCTCACTCGATGAAATACACACAAACAAGCAAATAACCTCTATATATTGCATCTCTTCCATCAAAAACTTTTTGATTTAAATTACAAATTGAAACAGAATGAATAAACGTTTGTAAACATGTATGTTTGTTTTTACCAGCTGTCGATTAATTGTGTTTAAAGTCGACGACAGCAAAATATATAAAGTATCCTTATTTAAATGTCTTGTTCAAACGAAAATTATAAAAAAGCATTACTAGGCAACCACCTTTTTCTGTTCATTGTTACAGTTTGTAAATTTATTTTATAGCACAATACGTATGCATGATCTATCACTCATTTTTATCCATAATTTTAACTATTCAATTCCCATTCATGCTCACGTATGCAAATTAGTTATTTCGAACTGTCAAGGGAGTACTCCTGGAACTGTTGCAAATGAAAAAAATATAACAAAACGAAGTTTGATAAAAAAAATCAAATATGTATGCCAATGTTTAACAAGTAATCAAATTGGACAATCTCGTTACTCTGATTAAATTGATATGTATGATTCTACTGAATTGTTTTATCTGCCAAAGTTAAGTGGTCCTTGCAATTTAAAAACAAATAGCATTTTTCTTTTCTTTGAATTTCCCACTACAACAGGTTGAAATTATTGCAGTGGGAGTAAGAATTATTTGATGTTTATTAAATAATTTTGAAATTTCCAAAAACAATAATCTTATAATATGTTATATTGTCTTTTATCGCTTGGTGGCAAAGCCATGATATACATGTATGCCATAGGTTGCGGGTTCGATCTCAAGAACGGGAATGTTAAACATTTACAGTACGACAAAACATTTGCGCTTAATCTTCATATAATATTTTTAAAACAAGCCAAAACGTTGGCATTATAATATGATTCAGTAAGATTTAAAATTTAAGTGTTTAGGTTTCTGCGACATGATACCTTTGTGGCTGATGGGTTGCCTTTTATGGCTGATGTTTGAGAATTGCAGCTACTGTTTATCCTCGTATTGGTGTACCTTCAGACTTGATCAGAGAAATACAGAAACCCTGACGAGCACAAAAACGACAAAATTGCAAATGTTGCATGCTCGGTTTGATTGAGCCTGTTCATGTACGGATTATATATTATATAATTATAGTTTTTCATACACATTTAAAGTTCTTTCACTATTGTTAACCTTATCACCAAATATGGGTTGCTGATTAACATGTACACACATGTTTATGCTAATAAATATTTGACATGAATTGATTTATTACTGATGAGACTCGAAGCCTGTCTATGAAGCGAAATATCCTTTGCGATAAACCTTGTTTAATAATGATCTTTAACTGTGACAGTTTAATTATTTCCGTTAATTGGTCTACATTATATAGAGCATGACTTTTTAACATTGCATAATTTTTAATTTTGATTTACAAGAAATAGTAACAATGTCGTTTTAAACATTAAGTGACTGTCAAAATTGAGTTGCAAGCCTGAGGTATATGAGAAAAATGTAATAAGTAACATCACCTAACATGTTAATCAATTTAATTGGTTGGCAATAATTTAAGATTAAATTCAAAATTTTATGATTCCGGAGAAAACTAGCTTCGACTGAAAATATTCAACTTTTAATTGCGTTTTTATACACCTTTGTAATGAGCAAGGTAATATTTAGTATAGACGATATAAAATTATATGATTTATCTAGACTCCATATCTTTCGATTGTTCACAAGCGTAAAATCCTTCCATTATAAAGCGATATTCATCTTGAATCTATTGTGTCCACATAAGAATACTTTCTATGTAACAGGTATTTGACGCTTATTCTGCACTATTACGAGGTTTGACCCAAACGTTTGCATATTACTTTTGTAAGATAGAACAGATCGTCAAAGCGTTATACGCTGGACCTTATCAAGCACTTCAAAAAGACCATGATAAACAACCAATGGAGTAAACAGAATTTCAAGTTTATCAAAGACATTAGAGTAAAAATATTATCAATTGTTGAATAGCCTTTCCTAAATCCAGCCTGAGACTCATCAGTTACATTAAAGTTATCACATCATTAAGTAAGACGAATATTTAATATATTAACAAATATTTTACATAGGGAATCTATTAATTTTTAAAAGAAATACCTCGATAATTATTTGGATCTGATTTAGAACCTTTCTCATGTATAGGAGTGATAATACTTTGACTCCATTCTTCTGGGAAGTTTCCGTTTTCAAAAATTTCATTAAAAAGAGCATTCAAAAATGGTAAAACTATATGAATAGAATGTTTGTACATTTCTAAGCAGACACCATCAGGTCCAGGCGACCGGTTAGCACGTAAATGGTCTATACTTTGCATTATTTCTAGATCAGATATAGGAACGTTAATTTCGTCACAATTTAAGTAATCACGATTCACATTGACCACGGGCTGCTCATCGATAGAACTATTTTCCCCAGTTACAGGATTCAAGAGTAATTTAAAATATTCATACCATTCTTTTCATGTTATTAAAGAATCTACATTTTCTTTACTATGACCTTTTTTAAGAATATTCCAGAATTGTTTTGCATTTTTCCTGGAATCAACCAACAGCTTCCGTTTAGCTTTGCAGTGGAAATACTGTTTATTTTTACATAGTGCTTTAAATTTGTTTTTGGACGTTTTATATCTTATTAAATCATCTCTTTCATTTGAAACCCGGAACTGTCTAATAAAACGGGTTTTATCTCTTTTTAGAATTTGTCAAACCGAAACTTTCATTTAAATATACAATTGTCTTAAAATGATGTTCTTAATAAGATACATTTTTTCTGCAGGAATAATAGTCGGTTAATGTCAATAATTATGGTTAATTCAATACATTATAATCAGTAACAAATAATAATAAAAAAACTATTTTTAGAAATTTAACGATTTACTAGACTGATTAAATATAGCCAAATTGACAGTTTGTTTTCTAAAAATAATTTCAGACACTGAATTTGATAATGTTTATTAACAAGTTTTTCTACATTTAATTGCTCTATGATATGTCTTAACCAATTTAACTCAATTTTGTAAATGCTAATGAACACTAACCTATACATAATTGCATACGTTCATGTCATTTATTGAACTGAAACTTCACATTTTGAAAAGTATGGCATTGTAAAAGTCGTTATTCAATTCATCTGTCTTAGTTATAAAGTAAGCAAATGTAGCACAGACACTAGATTTGTATAAAGGCGTTTGAGTGAAAATATTTCCAGCACCCAAGCCGTATAAGAGGATTATCAAATGTGTGACGTTATAAATCACAACCAATCACATCAAAACGCATGATCTTTTGTCCATGGTAACCTGCGGGATACAACGCTAAGTATCTCGCTTCCACAGGCGTCTGGAACACATTGATTACTATCTCATTTCCGGCGTCCGGAATCACATTACCTTCAAATCGCTGAAACGAAATAAAATATATATTTTCGAATAAATATTGCAAGTTTGATAAAGGTTTCGGCCACCTGAGATCAACGGCTAGTAAAGGTCATAATATGCTAATTATGGTGTAAGTGATCGAGTCATGTTGGGTTTGGGACCATTGTGGCAATCAGACAAAGTTTTAGTCCATTGAATGGACTCCACTAAGGTTTGTTACTGGAAATAGTTCCTTAAAATCAATATTACATTGTATGTAGTTCTGGATCAATAAGTTGTGTGCAAAATCTCGGATCATTTTCTTATTCTGTTTTTCCAGAATGGCTTGTAAGTCTCTGAGTCTGAGTCTTCTAATTTTCTGAGTTTGCAATTTCCATGCAATTTTGTACAGATTAATGCTTCCGAAGGATCACAATTTTACTACATTTTTTATTCTTCACAGCAGCAGGTGTCAATTGCTGATTGGCGGTCGTACAAAATTGTCCAGTACTTCATTTCAGTGCTGTTGTATCATTGATTCAAACACTTAAAAGTGATAATCGCGTACCGCTCAAGCCGGTGCTAGGGGACGTGAGGGATGTTGCACTTTTATTATCGTTCATGATGTACAGACTCATTCAAACCGAGTCTGACATTTTCATGTTAATTTGTTTTAAAATAATGCTTTCGAGCGATCACACTTTTTCCAGATTTTTGTTTTTATTTTAAGAAATGATCCAAAATTGAAAAGCGTTACAACGCTTTTCACTCAAATCGAGCTAAGAATAACACAACAAATTAATTTTCAGTTTATTTTTGAGTATATATCTACATTATTTTTTGCATATCTTTCTGTTTTTAAGTTCCGCAGCTGATCTATGTAGGAAATTGAAATTAAAATTTTCATTAATCAGTTGTAATCATATACGGCATTTTGTCTGAATAAATTAACTGTCAAAATCAATAAAAATAATTTTCACACCTCTTTTAATTAGAGAAAACTGAACCCCTAAAGACCAATCAAAAACGACAAAACTGAATTTTTCGCAGGCTAGGTTGATATTGCACTGTACAATAAAATATATAATTTGTACAAAACCATAATATTTCACAACACTTTCTTTAAATGAAATGTATGATTAATAATAACTACTTTGATCAAGAGTAATCATTATCAATCAATTTATACATGTACCTCTTACAGTAATCATAGATTGATCGATTACTGATAATTAATAGCATTAAATCCATTACTTTTTATGTAAACGAACCCATGTACGCTGTCAATAGAAACTTGATTATATAACTTTAACAGAGATCAAACATGCAATGTAAACTACAATATACCTAGGCTCTAAGCCATGCATTTTCACACAGGGAGATTTTTAATGTATTTCCAATATTAGTATGTTACGCAAGTAACTTCGAGTATAGAGTGGCACTTGTAATTGATGCGTATGACACCAAAATTTAAATGGCCGATTCATCACGTCTTAACTATTTAACCAAGATCGAATAATTTTCCTCCTTTCCCAGCCTCTTTGCTCTCTATCATTTTTGGTTCGGTGCCTTCTGAGTACACTGCTAACTTAGCTGGATTGTGTCAGGGACTTTGTTTGTGTACGTCGCTCTTGTCAATTAAGTTAATCTTTCATTGATGAAATAAACGCTAAATACTAACAACTTAAAAAACCCGATTTGTAATCATAACTATTTATGGGGAGTATTCAATTAACAAACAACAACTTGAAAACAAATAGTTGCCAAAGGTGACAAATTATACAATGACTAATGCTGCTAGGAAAGAACATTGTTAACATGACATTATAATCTCTGGTCTTAAAATTAGTATTATTACTGATACAACTACGAATCCAAAATCAGTCCTCTGACTTCCCTTAATCTGTTAAAAATGATAGCACATGTTTCGGTAAAAGAAATGAAGGAATAACTGTTCTATTCCTCGACAGATATATATGTAAATATATCTTTATCAAAATGAAATGGTTAAAACCATTTCGCATCCTTTAATTTTTTACATATGTCAGGAAAGGGTAGACTTCAAATCAAATATTGAACCATATTAATCAAAAGGTACTTACTGCTTTTTTGTCCGCCCAGAACCAATTTTTGTAGTTAGTACTACGAAATATATAGAAATACGTCACCCTTTCATCACAGCAAGAGTCAAGCGTTTCATTTCGCCACCTTCCTTGGATGGCAAATCCCCGAACTCTAAACAATTTTGGTAAACTAATCTGTAAACAAATGTACATAATATAAACAAATACAAGTAGCATAAACACATTAATAAACAAGTTATTAGTAAACTATGTATAAACTATAATTTTCTACTTCATGTCGTACGAAAGGTTATCACCAGAGCATTAGACTTTTGAAGTGTGTTACGGTGGCGATATAGTGCGTATTAAAGTATATTTGTAGCTTGTTATAGCTTTTTATTTCAATAGTGTTGGAAAAGTAAATCACTTATTTTAACAAAAAACATTAACCGCCAAACTTAAGTACAATTCTTAATATTTACTGAAGACATTGGAGACTGTATAAACAGAAGTCATTAATTCATGAAGGAAACATCGACGTGTTTCATGTCAGCTTTATGTTATATTCTATGTAAAAGCAAAATGAATCAATTACACTGAACATAATTGATCTGAAATCTATGGCGAGTAATCAAAATAAAAATGCCAATGCTATAACATTTTTACAAAATTGTTAGAACAAGCAATATCGTTTATTATGTAACACAGACTGATTTATAAATGCATACGACATTTTAGAATAGTAGGACACAACTTATTAGTATGAAACTATGTATAAACTATTATTTTTTACTTAATGTCGTACAAAAGGTTATCACCATAAGACTTTCGAAGTGTGTGTTACGATGTCGATATAGTGCTAATTAAAGTATATTTGTAGCTTGTTATAGCTTTTTATTGCAGTGGTGTTGGAAGAGTAAATCACTTTTTATAACAAAACAATAACCGCAAAACTTAAGTACAATTCTTTATATATACTGAAAACATTGGAGTTTGTATTAATAGAAGTCATTAATTCATGACGGAAACAACGACGTGTTTCATGTCAGCTTTATGTTATATTCCATGTAACCATACAAATTGAGAAAATGATACAAGCAAAATTGGAACATAATTGATCTGAAATCTATGGCGAGTAATCAGAATAATTTTTACAAAATTGTTAGAACAAGCAATATCGTTTATATTTGTAACATAGACTGACTTACAAATGCATATGAGCCCGTCACGTTAATACCACCAATGTCGTCGTTATCACTCGGAACAAAGTCAAGCCGAGCCGGGACTTTCTTGTTAACCAATAAATATTGGCTGCAACCGCCGAGGTCTTAAGGGGAAGAAAATAAAAATCATCATGAATATTATTCTTTTTGTGTTTGGTAAAATCTAAATTGATTTTATTAAATCTCACTATTATTTGTCAGCTGACAAATATTGATATTTCCCTTATCTTCTTAGTTTCAAGCTTCGTAAAATTCTTTTCCTGTCTTAAGTTATCTATTTCCTATATTGTTTATTCTAAGCGTCTGTCTTCGCTTACTTTTAAAGGTTTGTAAAATATTTTTCATGTTTTTGATGCAATAACAATGTTTAAACTAAACATAAGGGGTAACAATATAATGACTATAGTTATTTGGAATATCTTTGGCAAACTTTAAATATGTTACCTTTAGTTTTCTTATATGCTTTCCAGTTATTCCAATCCAAGTCGGCACAATTTTCCTCCTTTTCAATTGCGTTGATCAAGTAACATTCATCACTTGTGTCCTTGTGGTACAATCCGATACATCTAAAAAGAAATCAAACATAAACATGGTTTTAGTTATATAAAACAATTGGATATAATATTCTACACACTATTCTTTTATTAATTTTGCACAAGTGAATCTTCATCCATTTGAAGAAAGTGTACAGACATTAAATATTAAAATATTAATACAGTCCTGAGGTTGGTCTATGCCGCCCAGGCCAAAACAATCGCCATTTTAAAAATTAAACACTGTACCCTCTTCGTACGTGTTGTTCAAATATGCCAACAACATCGTTATATAAACATAGATAATCATTCATACCTGTGCTGTAAGCAACATGTGATTGCGCACATATTGAATGGTAGAATCGTGATGTTGCTCTTTACACACTTGTACTTCCGGTATGACTCAGAAGGTGTTATCCAACATGCCTTCATGTCATCTGACTCTATCACAGCAAGAACCAGCAAACATATTCCAGTCAAAGACCACAAATATTTAGAGCTCTGGAAGATTTAAAGTTAATGTCACTTCTAAACAGCATGAATTATGATGATTAACTCCTGATTGCATTGCGAGAAATTTGACGAACATTGGTAATTCTTTCATCTTAAAATACTATACATTTAAGGGAAACAATAAACGACATTAAGATTTTTTTAAATTTAAATTCTTCATTTTTACGAATGTCACGAATTTAAATTGCGTTTATCAAAGACAAAAAAGTAATCAAATACATAAAAAAATGAGCACTCCTACTCTTACGTGGCTACATTTTCTGAAATATAAGGACACAAAAATGTAATAACACTGTAAATGAAATATACTAATAGTTTACATAACATTTAAATTTCTGTTATTAATAATAATTTAAAGTTTGAATTTTTAAGGTTAAATTTTTAAATCATACTAGTATCTGATCAATCATTGAAATAAAAGAAACAATTTGTTAACCCTTACCGTCATTTCTGCTATCTGCTGATCGATGTTTATTAATTGAGATAATCATTTAAGCATACCATAAGTCAAACATTGATTTGAAGCGTCATAGCAACAAAAGCAACAAAGTGTCAGGCTGCAGTAAACAAGAGGAGTGTTAATTGTGACTCGGACGAATCGTGACTATTAAAAAATACCAGATGTGCATATGTGGAAATTTATTCAATAATTAAAGTTAATAATTCCTTAACAACCAAATGTAAATCATGGAAATTTCCTTTATCAATGAAGTATTATGCGTACGTGCTTGTGTTCGGTTTTGTTTAATACGAGTCCTCTAAACACTCTTTCCAGTTATTAACAACAACTCGTAGCACTGTGTACCTTTAGCAAAATTCAGAGCGCAGATGTTTTGATAGTTTTCATTTTGTTTGCTTTTGTTTGTTTTGTTTTACTAACACCAACACAGCTTAGGTCATATGGCGCCGAAGCAGAAGGATGATTTTGGCTATCCTAGGGTGTTACAAATTTAAAGCAACACCAGGGGTCAAAACCAACTCACCTGCTGGAGATAAGAAATACATAGACTCTAATTACTCGAACCCATTTAGTCACCTCATACTATCATGCAGTGATAAACGGTGGCTGCAATTATCATGCATCTGCCATAAAAAGCGACCCCTCAGAGGGGTATCATGTCGCAGAACCCTAAACATAATATTTTAGTTAATTACATTATTATGGCACCTCTTTTACTAGTTCTAAAAATATCTTATGAATAGTAATCGCAAAGGTATTGTCATACATTTACACTATTCAGTAAATGTTTCACATACCGGTTCTTGTGATCGAACGCATAACATATGGCAAATGTCATGGCTGGCTTTGACACTGAACGATAAAAGACAACAAAATTTATTATCAGATTATTGTTTTGAAAATATAACAATTATTTTGTTTAGACTTGGAACGTCTGCTTATCATCGTCAAATTATCGAACACAACACAAATAATTCTTACTCCCAATGCACAAATGCTTCTTGTTTTTTAATTGCACGAACCACTAAACTTTGGCTGATATAAACAATTTAGAAGAATCATGCATACCAATTTAATCAGAGTAATTAGTTCGTCTAATTTGATACATACATATTTGATTAACTTTCTGACAAAACGTCTCCTTTGGTATATCTTTTTCCTTTACAATGGTTCCAGGAATACTCCTTTGACAATTCGAAATAATTGATTTGCATATAAAAACACTAATGGCATTGCATGGTTAAAATTATGGAACAAATGAGTGATAGATCATGCATACGTATTGCGCTATGAATTAAATTAACAAACTGTAACAATGAACAGAAAAAGTCAACCACGCGTATGTAGATGTAGTTTACCATGTGTGTACTATAAAATTGTAAAACATGGTTGCCTTTAAAGATTAAGGCATCAGAATCGTAGCCACCGTTTATTATAATAATTTATAAATGTTTTCGCTTGTAGTCTATGCTTGTCTTAAAAAGTAGCACGATGGTCTTTTACAAAGTCCGATGCCATCTCAGAAGATTTAATATATTATGGATGGGTATGCTTGTATTTGATGTTGGTCTTAAAAATAGTGCCGTGATTATTATTTTTGTATTCAGGAAATAAAATGCTGACATTCAATACCTGGAACAACGACAGTCTTAACAACACAAAGTAGTTCTTAGACTAGCGATGTAAAAGAAAGAAATATTTTCATTTTGAAAGTATCCAACGAATTATAACACATTCAAAGTTTAGAAATAGCTTGGGCTTATAGAATTGTCAAAACATTGCGCAGATAAATATCATTTTAATCAATGAAAATTGCTCGACTATTTCCATAAAGCTTCGGATTATTGTGATCGTTATTTAACGCCGCCTAAATGAACATTTGTTTTTTAGACTTTCTGAAAAATATAGTAAGGATGACAGGTACGAATTTAGGGCAGTTGACGATCGATAACAATTTCTACTACCTGATGAATTAATCCGCGTTAACAAAGCGCTATTTTAGCATTGTCGATTACCGAAGGCCGCTGCGCGTATTACACAAATAAATCTGACTGTCAAGTAGTGAAATATTATATATATGTCGGACAGTTTGGGCGAGAAGAATTTCGCTTAATTCTTTACATCAATGATAACCAACAGGTTTACCGTGAACAAAATATCTCGAAATTAATAATATTCTACAAGAAAATCAATCTGGTTTCTTTGCGCTTGAAACAGAAAAACAAAGAAAATTTTCTGTGCTTTTGTAGATTTCTTTCAAGCTTTTGATAAAGTATGGAGGTTAAGCATAAATTGCTCGAAAATTCTATAAATGGTAAATTTCCATTGTTATTGATGATTTAAACAAAATCAATGAATCATTTATTTCACATAACTGAGCTGTATCGCCGTCGTTCATTTCCGAAATAGGGGCAAGACAGGGTGAAAATTTTTCTCAAGGCCTTTTTACCATGTACATGTACTGAAATAACCTCCAAACTTATTTACAGAATATTAACGACACTATCCTGTTATCGATTATCGCTGATGATCTCCAAATTTGCTTATTTTTTTAATGATGACTGGCATCTAAATGTGAACTTAAACAAAACTTAAATAGTAATTTGTTGCTCGTAAAAATTGGAATTTTAGATATTTTAGGAGATAGAAATATTGAAATATCCAATTCTTACCATGACTTAAGTGTGACATTCTCTAGCAATGATTCGCTCCTTAAAGCTAGAAACAAACATCTAATTATAAGGCAATGTATTAACTAATTACCGTTAGATCTTATTATTACACTGTCTTACCTATTTTGACATGAGGATTGGAAATATTTGGATTTGAAAATGTAGATATAATAATGAACTTCTACGTAAAATAACCAACCCTCGTAAATTGACTCTCTCCCTATAAATGCTAACGGGCGATTTTGGACGGTATCCAACAATCGATCATAATTAAAACTGGGATGATCTCAATATTTAAGATTTTTTGAACGTCACATAGCTAATCAGTTACAGCATTTTTTCCAAAAAACAAATATTTTATATAATAAACAGTCAGGATTTCGAAAGAATCATTCATGCAATACGGCCCTAATTCATTTGATAGACTCCTGGCTAAAAGATGTTGATAGTGGCAAATATATAGGTACAGTATTTTTAGACCTACAGAAGGCGTTTGATTTAGTTGACCATGAAATATTTTTATATAAACTCAAACTTTATTACTATTTTGTCACATCATTAAACTGTTTCATTCGTATATGTCTAATCGTATGCAAATGATTCAAATTGGAGACTTAAAATCTGACGTACAATATGTTACCTCTGGCATTCAACATGGCTCAATATTAGGTCCTTTACTGTTTCTTCTTTATATACATGATCTCCCAAATATTTGCGAGGATGTTAACATAGATTTATATACTGATGATTACACGTTGCATAAATCTGGAGATGACATATCAGTTATAGAGGAAAAACTACAACATAGCCTTAATATGATTATTAAGTGGTGTAAAATAAATAATATGCTTTTACACCCTAAAAATCTAAAAGTATGCTGGTAGGTAGTAGACAAAAGCTAAAGATTGCAAAAGCATTAAATTTGAAAATTAACGACTCAACTCTTGACAATGTAGAATCACAAAAACTGCTTGGTATTTATGTTGAAAATGCACTCAATTGGCACTGTCAGGTAAATGATGTGTGTAAAAAATTGAACTCTAAAGTTAATTTATTTAGGCGTATTAAGTACTTTTTAAATATGGAATCTCGCATGCTTATTTATAATGCATACCATCTTCCTATTTTTGATTATTAAAATATGCCAAATATACAAAATACAAACACGAATTTGCAAAATTATTCTAGACCTTCCAATGAGAAACCAATCAGAAAGTTTATACAAAAGATTAAAAATATTGAATATATACCACTGAATGAAAATAAATCCTATATCTATAGAATAAATCTTGAATGTCCTCTATGTATTGTCGATGTTTGTCATCCGATATTGGTATATCAGCAATATGCTTTGATGTGAATCAATGACAGTTCTAATCGGTTATCTTTGGATTAACTTTGATGATATGTTATAAACAAATGTAAAGTTAAACCAAAACTTTTGATGGAAATGATATGTTGTATTATTGAACAGGGTATATAATATATAAATAGTTGTTGGCCAGTTTATGCTTACACTCTTGAACCCTGGCACTTAAACAAACAAAACTTGGTAAGAAGTAAGATTTTTTGCTGTTTTCATGTGTACACAAGTGCACTTAGATATACGGATTAAATATTAATTGGAATTAGCAAACCAATAATTTTTCAAGAAGAGCTTTGTATTTTATTTACATTAAATTCCAATATTTTTTATAAACAAAATAAACTTATTTTACTCTGAGTACATTGTATATTGCCTTGCTTTTAACGCTGAACTTCCTGGAACCAAAATTGGTTTGTCTGTGCCACCAGTATAGAATCAGGCCAGCCTACACATTTGTTCAGCCTGACATGGCTCTTTATTGTTGGTAGCT